TAGACTAAAATGAAGAGGAAAATATACAGCAGGATGTAATGGAGTGTTTTGAATAAAGTGCCATGCCAAGTGTTCCCTAGTTCTCCAAATGTCATTTATATATTTTAAAGCAATTTCGAGTTTTCAAACCTGACAAAATAGTTTTTAAGATTACTTTGAAGAGTAAATGGATAAGAATAGTCAGTGATTTTTGAGAAAAGAAATAATGATGTACTGGTTTGCAGTGCTGGTAGTAAAATGTTTTATAATGCTACAGTAGGTTAATTCAGTGTCACTAATGCATAGCTAGACAGACAGGTAAATGGTACAAATTAGGAAAGACACTAAGAAAATTTAATAAATATTTGATTGATCACCAAATAGTAAATGCTTTTTTCATTTACATTTTTTTAAGAAATGGTTTTTAAAAATTATGCAAGCAGTACATGTTCCTTATGAAAAATTAGATTATATTCTCACCCACTGCTATTATTCTGTATGTTACCATATTTCCACTTTTTAAAAACGACAGACTGTGTATATGTGTGTGTGTGTTATATATATAATCAGTACTTTATGTAATTTTCTTCCAAATAAATTTCTTTTAATGTAAAATACATATTTCCTGTTTATATTCTTGTGCATTTTCCTTATTTGGTGGCATTTTTTCCCTAGAGTTTAATAAAATCTACGATGCATTGGACATCTCTTTAATAGAGAGAGGGGAATCGTTCTATCAAGATAGGATGGATGATGTTGTAAAGGAATTTGAAAATAAAGGTAGGTTCTCTGCTTTTTATTTCTTAACTTTTTATTATCGGAATTTTCAAACATAAGCAAAAGTGGAGAAAATTTATAATAATCCCCAACTTCACATACTCATCACCTTTCAAAGGTTATAAATACTGGTCAACCGTATTATATCTATACGTTCTTATACATACTGGTTACATGTAATTTCATATATAAGTGCTTTGGTATGTGTTTCTGAAAAAACAGGCCCTTTCTCTTGCCCTGAAACTACAACATAGTCGACCCTTGAACGACACAGGCTTGAACTACACACAATTATTTTGGTTACCCTGAGGTGCGGTTCATGTAAGACAGGAGTGTAAGTGCTTAATTCTTTTTTCTTTATTAGTCAGATGTTTCTTAGCATCTTGCAGATATGACGAGTTGATCTTAGCATTATTATAAATGGGTTATATTTTCAATTACCTTTATTCTTTGTGAAGATTGTGCCAATTTTGGCTAATGGTAACCTCTTCAAATTGGCTTTCTATTTTATGTTGTATTTTTGTTTTGTTTTTCTCAGCCCCTCTAGTCCGTGATAGTTTAATAGCTTTATGGTATATAATCCTCCAGGCTCATTTTGTACAAATCCTGCCTCAGATCTGGGATCAGTCAGATCTCCAAGGAAGCCAAGTTCCTTGAATGAGAAATAGTATTTATTAATCACAGTCTCTGGGGCCTAGGGACCATATTTTTAAGGTAATAAAATTTTAAAGATGTTTATTTTCTGAGAAAATAGCACAAGAGAAGCGAATGACTTCCCAAGGTCACATAGCCTATAAGTGATAAGTCTGAGATATAAACCTAGGCAGTCTGGCTTCAGAGCTTCAATTTTTAGCCACTATTTTGTACTGCCTTTACCTTACCAAGCCTCAGTTTTCTGAACTGAGAAAGCACAAAGTTATTTACCATGTAGAGTTACTGTGAAGGTTAAAGTTAGGTGTTAGTATTGGCACATAGTAGCACTCAGATATACAACGGTTGTTGTTGTCATCATGGTCTTTTCTGTCCCTTCTTGCAGTCAAGAATTTTGCCTTTTTCATCATGAGTAGGTGAACATGATTTTTTTCATTTTCATTTCTCATTCCAAATGCTAAATTCTGCCATGTTTGTTTGCTGGACCCTGGGACATTGTTAACTTCTTTACTGCATGTAGTGAAAAGTCAATATAGGAACTGTATCTTTCCCCAAGAGGAGAGTCAGGGCTCCAGCTTGCACAGAAAAGGGAAGCACAGATATTCATGTTCTGGACCTCCTGAGCAGGTGGGCTTCTTTCTGTGAGGTACTACATAAAGAGTTTGGGAGCCAAGTGTAGTGTGAGTGCAGAAAACTGCCAGAATATCTGACTGCTGCCCAGACAACCTTTAAAGTAGCCATTTTTCCCAGGCTTCTATTAGATCATGGTGGGAAAAAAAATTGTGATTTCTTTAGCTCTCTCATTTTCTAAAATATTTCTAAAATGACTAAGCATTCGTATTCCTTCAGGGTTCTTTTAACATTATTGGTTTTTTTTTCCCTAGGATTTGTGCAAGTGGATGATGGCAGAAAGATTGTGTTTGTCCCAGGGTGTTCCATACCGTTAACCATAGTAAAATCAGATGGAGGGTATACCTATGATACATCTGACCTGGCTGCTATTAAGCAAAGACTATTTGAGGAAAAAGCAGATATGATTATCTATGTGGTGGACAGTGGACAAGTGAGTTTGTAGATTTTTTTATGTTTTAACATTGTCTGATTGGAAGTAAGACAATACCGTGAGATTGTTGACATTTGGCACTAGAAGACTATATGAATTATCCCCAAAGACTAAGATTCCGAACATAAATGTAACAGGAGAGAGAACAGAATTTGGAGCCAGCCAGATCTGGACACTTCTCAACTTTTCAGCTTATCTCCACAAACTGGAAAAGGATACTTCTCTGAACCTCAGCCATTGTTCCTATTGATGGGGTTATTGTGAGACCTAAAACATAATTTATGTTATTTAAAAACCTTTGAGCATAATAGAAAATATAATGATAGTCTTGGTCTTAACTGTTCCTATGTAGGGAATAATGGAAGAGCATTTATAATAATACTTGCCTCATAATATTTATGGGTGATTTGAATTTTATAAATTTTTATTACTAAGCACAAGAGCCTTAAGTCTTTTTATTATTATTAGGAAACTAACAAGTAACTTCCTATTTTTGTTGCTTTGTAGTCTGTGCATTTCCAGACAATATTTGCTGCTGCTCAGATGATTGGTTGGTATGACCCTAAAGTAACTCGAGTGACCCATGCTGGATTTGGTGTGGTGCTAGGGGAAGACAAGTAAGTGTGGAAAATCTGAAGACGGTAATGATGTGACTGATCCCCAATTTTCTTGGAAGAGGCTACATTTCATTTGATACCATATTAGAAATAAGAAAGTCTGTGATTGTCTTTTTTTTTTTGGAGACAGAGTCTCACTTTGTTGCCCAGTCTAGAGTAAGTGCCATGGCGTTAGCCCAGCTCACAGCAACCTCAAATTCCTGGGCTCAAGCAGTCCTACTGCCTCAGCCTCCCAAGTAACTGGGACTACAGGCATGCGCCACCATGCCCGGCTAATTTTTTTCTGCATATTTTTAGTTGGCCAACTAATTTGTTTCTATTTTTAATGGAGATGGGGTCTCCTCTTGCTCAGGCTGGTTTCGAACTCCTGACCTTGAGCAATCCACCCACCTCCGCCTCCCAGAGTGCTAGGATTACAGGTGTGAGCCACCGTCCCTGGCCTGATTTTCTTTAGTCTATATATGTTTGGTAAACCCCAAAGAGTTGTTTTGTATTTATGTCATCAGTGCTAGAGGGAACCCTCTTAGGGAGATAGTATGTGCAAGGGTGAATGAAAACCAGACTGCAGACTTACCAAATTATAAAGGGGGTTTCTACTCTCATAGATCTAATTACAAAATCTATAAAGGTACCTCCTCAGATTTCAGACAAAATATTCAACACTATAGTCCAGGGATTTTGTAATGTCTTTGTTTTTTCCTTCACAGTTGAACACTTGGTCAAAAGGCGTAAGTTTATTGAGGATCCAGTTGGGTTTTAAGATTCACTGCTTTCATTTTTTTTTTTTTTTTCTCTCTGCTGGCAGGAATCTGATCACTGCTTTCATTTTTATGTTTGTCTCAAAAATATTTACTGAGACCTACATGTTAATATCCATACTTTGTTTTTCTGTTTTCTAATTGTTTCCCCACATTCTGCTCAATGTGTATGAAATAAAAAGGTAAATACAATTAAATATTTATATACAGAATTAATTCAAAGACAAAAATTTTTCACATTTAACATTAGTGAATATAAAATGTTTTGGGATTACCTGCCATTTAATCAGCATGCCTCTTAAATCTATAACATCTTCGATTTGGTGACAAGTATTAAATACTACCATCCCACAGAGAGGGTGGTGATGCTTGTAAAAACCACATGAATTAGTTTGAGATGTGCCCTGCCAATGTACAAAAGCCATGATTTAATGTATAAAAGGCAAGTTGGTTATGTCAAGGTATTACAGATACTAATTATATAGAGGTCAAAGACCTTGTTGGAAACATTTTCTAATTGTAATGTGTGACTTTTCTGTGGAGGTATACTTTTTTAAATCAGAAGATACTGGGTCCTTATCCTGTTTATCCTAAGAAAGTGCTTAAAAGCTAACCAGTGAGTTGAGTATCACTTACACTATCTTAGTTTCTTAACTGTTGGTTTTTCAAACATTTAGATGATCTCAAACATTTAAATGATATTCCAGTTGGTTAACATTATCAGATTTGTTTTCTACTACATTTATCACTAGGATTCATATCTTGGCATTTAATTCACTTATCATGTAATGACTAAGGGGTCCTTGATAATTTATTTTTTATATTTCTCTACTCGGTATCATGTAATTATGGCATCCTAGCCCAATTTTTTTTTATGATCCTATTTATTTTTATTATGTATGGAAACATAACAGTTGTGCATATTTATGGGGCCTAGCCCATTTTTTTTTTAAAAGAGAATAATTTTAATGGTAGTTAACCAGTGACAGCTAACCATATTTTAAATATTTCCATTAATATGCTGACAGATTCTGCCGTCTATTTTTAGTGACATTTTCTGTTTTATTTCATCATCTTACTGTCTCCCAGGTGCCCATTTATTGAGCATCTGCTATGCATGGCATTGGCTGGGTGCTCCACAGTGTGTATAGAGATACGTAGAACACAGCTTCTTCCGTGAAGGGGCCTATCGTCTAGAGCAGAGCAATCTGCTGTGGAGCCTGTGAAAATATACATGCCAGGCCCCACTGCTAGGAGTTACTTTTTACTAGGTCTAAAGTGGATATTAGGCATCTGTGCTATTTAAAAGCTCGATTGGTATTCAGATACACATTCCTCATAGTGTTACCACTGGTCAAAGTAGACCAACACAAAAAAACAAAAATTGAAGGCAGGCACAGGTAGTAACTGAAAGGACCAGTTATTGCAAAATAGAGGTATTAAGGAAGGCTTCGTTCAGTCTGTTGACTTGGCTTTACGACGATTGTCATTCATTGGAGATTTGGAAGTTGGACACTCAAGAAGGAGGGTATGGCAAAAAGAAAGCCATGCAAGTATGTAAGGCATTTATAGAATAATTTTAATTCTGTGATTAAGGGCAAGTAAATCCTTTCTAAGGCAAGCTCTAAAAATAAAACTTTAGTACAAAGTATCACATTTATTTTGATAGGCTTTGTGTTAGAATATTAGAATAGCGTGCTTCAATTTTACCATTGTTATGTTTGAAGGATTTTTAACCTAAAAAAAAGAAAAAGACAAATTATATACTTGGGTGTCACATAAACTTCTGCTGTTTACTAAGTTAAATCCAGTTTTCTTAAAATGCTTTTTAGTAGTGCAACTGCCCAGGGCAGTGCTTATAAGTGGTTTTGCCTCATTCACAGAGATTCTGATTTCAATAGATCTGAATGGGGGACTGGCATCCTATTTTTTAAACTTCTTCAGCCGATTCTGATATGTGTCCAGGATTGATTACCACTGAACAAGAGGACTCACTTAGATAGAAAAATGCAAATGAGATTCCAGTAAAGAGTTTGCTGACTTTTCAAACAACTCTAGAAGCAAACATGTATTTATTAATAATTTTTCTAAAAGGGTAAAACAACTAAGCCAAACTTTATGTTCTAGGAAAGTGAATAAATTAACCAATATCTTCTTTCTTTCCCTGCTAGGGATGTATTAAAGGTGAATATGGAGAGAGTGCTATTAGGGGCTAAAGCATAGGATACTCAAGGCTGAGGGCTAGATAAGAGACACTTGAAAGCACCCTGTCTTTTGTCACCCTCCCTATTGCCAACTGGAATATGGCAGTGTTACTATGGCCATCAAGCCCTCTCTTAATAGTTCTTGGGAAACCTGTACAATAGAGATTTATAAAAGGCATATGTTATCGTTTGTGGTCAGGTCCCTCAAAAGTTTTCAGAGATTTCTAAGTTGAAAGGTCTGTTTCAAAATCTGTTTAACTGGGGCTTTAAATTTTTTAGGAAGAAGTTTAAAACACGTTCAGGTGAAACAGTACGCCTCATAGACCTTCTGGAAGAAGGACTAAAACGATCCATGGACAAATTGAAGGAAAAAGAAAGAGACAAGGTAATCCAAGGCCTTATTAGCATAGTGTGTACTACGCATCATGATTTTTCATTTTTGTTTTCATTGAGAGAACTGAGGAGAATTATAAGGAGTCACACCACCTTAGGGCTGACTGATGGTGTTTAGATTTTATTACACAGTAAGTTTGTTTCGTGAATTGCTGAGCATTTACTTTGAAACTGTAGTTTTTTCTTGACTACTACAGAAGGCCATGGTTTTTTCCTCCTTTATCGGTATAGCATAGTGTCTTTGCTTCTTGGTGGCAGTTCCCAGTGACAGGAGAATATTGCAGACTGAAGGGGGTTGATTCTTCGGCTAACATTAGAGTCTGCATTTGCTGAGCTCCTTCTCTGGGAGCATTTGTAGATTAGTCATAAAAGCCAACACTTACCACCCAAGGCCATTGATGAGTCATCAAGGCAGGCAACGTCATGGGCTTTCATAGCACCCATAGAAAGGACTATGGTTGGGTTTGTGTGGAGTCTGGAGGAATTTTATCAAAATAAGAAAAGTCAACAAGAAAAACAATTTTTTTGAAGATGGTAGTATCAGAGCAGAGGTCAAGGATGAGATGCAGAGTATCTTATTTCTTCTTTCCAGTAAATGAGGTGATATTTTGGAATGGACATGCAGAAGAGTAAAACTACAGAAGGGGAAACAGAATAGGAGATGTAGACATGAAAGAGCCAAACACATAAAAAGATACTTTGAGGAGAAGCCTTCTTGTTTGGTTTAGGTAGATCGCTGACAATCCAGAGAGTGCACGCAAGCCATAAGGCTATATCCTCTCCACCTATATTCTCTTTCCATTACCAGCAAAAAATAGTTTTTCCTCTATACTCTTTTTCTTTTTGAGACAGAGTCTCACTCTTGTTTGCCTCAGCTAGAGTGCCATGGTGTCAGCCTAGCTCACAGCAACCTCAAACTCCTGGGCTCAAGCGATCCTCCTGTGTCAGCCTCCTGGTTAGCTGGGACTACAGGCATGCACGACCATGACCGCCTAATTCTTTTTCTAATTTTAGTTGTTTGGCTAATTTCTTTCTATTTATAGTAGAGATGGGGTCTCACTATTGCTTAGGCTGGTCTCAAACTCCTGAGTTCAAGCAATCCTCCCGCCTTGGCCTCCCAGAGTGCTAGCATTATAGGTATGAGCCACCACACCCAGCCTCAGCCTTAAAAAACTTGCAGAATAATACACAGAATTCCGAATGTCTCACTTTGCCTCTCCAAATACTAATCTTACATAGCTATAGTGTGATTATCAAAATCAGGAAATTACCATTGATATACCATTAACTAATCTGCAGCCCTTCTTTAAGCTTCACCATTGGTCTCACTAAATTCCTTTATCTAGTCCAGGATCCAATCCAGGATAACAGATTTAGTTATTGTATCCTTTTAATCTTCTTTAATATGGGCAGTTCTTTGGTGTTTTGACTTTTATGACCTTGACACTTGAAGAGACTAATCAGTTACTTTGTAGAATATCCCTTAAATTTGTCTGATATTTCCTCACAATTATATTCAGTTATGCAGTCTTGGCAAGAGCAGGTGTAGAGTCCTTCCCAGTTCACACCCAGAGGTACCTCTTGGTGTTGATACGTCTCATGATTTTTTTTTTTATTTTTTTTTTGAGACAGAGTCTCGCTTTGTTATCCAGGCTAGAGTGAGTGCCATGGCGTCAGCCTAGCTCACAGCAACCTCAAATTCCTGGGTTCAAGCAATCCTTCTGCCTCAGCCTCCCGAATAGCTGGGACTACAGGCATGCGCCACCATGCCTGGCTAATTTTTTCTATATATATTAGCTGACCAATTAATTTCTTTCTATTTATAGTAGAGACGGGTATTCTCTTGCGTCAGCTGGTTTCAAACTCCTGACCTCAAGCAATTCACCTACCTCAGCCTCCCAGAGTGCTAGGATTACAGGTGTGAGCCACTGTGCCCGGCCCATCTCATGATTAATATGAATCGATTACTTGGTTAAAGTGATAATGTCATTTTCTCTACTATAAAGTTAACATTTCTCTTTATCATTATATAAGTATTCAAAATAGCTTCATTTTAAACAGTTTCAGACTTTAAAGTTGCTATTATTTTGTTTGTTTGTATTTCATTTCTCTTCTGTCCCTTCCTCATACACATCCCCACCAATAGTGAGTATCCTTTCATCTTGCTTTTAGCTTCATTTGTTTTTGGATGCTGGGCATTGTAAATGAAAAATTGCAAAGTACCAGCGTATTCTGCTCCTGTCAGTTTGTCATGAGCATTGTTAGGCTGAACTATTTCAATATGTCTTTACTCCTCGTAGAGGTCCTCCTCCTGAAATGGGCCATTCTCATTTCATAATAGTGCCCTATTACCTTGCTGCTGCTGGACTGCCAGCATCATACAGCTGCTGAACTGCCACCCAGCTCTTTAATCACCCACTTACTCTTTTCTGATAGGTTTTGGGGGATCTTTCCTTGTGCATGCCAGCTATATGACAATTTGAAAGAAATTTGTTCCCAGAGGTTTTTCACTCCTGTCTGGTTCCCTTCTCTTGGGTTTTGTCCTTGCTCTTTGCCAGTCCCGATGCTTTGAGCTCTTGTCATCTTGACCCAGTAAGACCATTCTTCTGCTTGGGTTCTGTACCTCCATGCCTGCTACCTAGCAAATTGGAAAATGTCCCATGGAAAAGCCAGATAAATAGAACATCATTCCTATGCTTTCCTTCACTTAGAATTATAGCCCCTCAAACTTGGCTTGTGTTGATGCCGCACTGCTAAGGACTCAAAACAGTTGCTTTTATGTTACCTTTGCTCTTTTGCCCCAGGCTGAGTGCAGTGACTCATCATAGCTTCACTGAAGCCTCCAAGCTCCTGAACCAAGTTCATCTGGCAACCTCCCAGAGCTGGAACTAATAGCATGTGCACCTACACGCCCAGCTAATTTTTTGTAGAGGACAAAGTCACTATTGTTGCCAGGCTGGTCCTCGAACTCCTGGCCCCAAGCAGTCCTCCCGCCTGAGCCCCCAAAGCGCCGGGATTATAGGTGTGATTGGCCATGCCCGACCCTTACCCAGCTTTTAAATAATTGCTTTTGGTGGAAAGGGTTAGTCTGCTACAAACTGTTCTATCGTGATGAGGAAATTCTTGACCACTGACTTGGGGTCTAATAATGCTTCAGAATACATGACAGATGTTAGCAAAACAGTACAATCTTTCTTCCACCCTTGATGCACTGTGGATTTCAAATAATTACTTGATGCTAATTTTTTGTGTTTGACTATATTACTTTGTTTCCTATAACCTCATAATATTCATGGTATGAAGTAGATATGAATTAATAATTGGTGCTTTTGGTTTCATATCTACTGAGTACATTGGGAAAAAGTATTCATGGTGACATTTGATATTTCACAAATTTATTTTCTCATAGAAACATTCTTCATTGTGCATAGCTGATGAGTTATATTTTTATTATTCTCTTTGTACATTGGCCCATGTCATTCTACTGTAGTGTCAATGTTTATTAAGGCTTATTGATAAGATCTCCATTAGATGCTACCCCTCTCTTCTGTCTATGAGACACCAGGGCAGAAGCAGCAGTGAGTAAGCTATTAAGCATTGCTTTTTTTCCCCCTAAAGGTCTTAACTGCAGAGGAATTGAAAGCTGCTCAGACATCCGTTGCTTATGGCTGTATCAAATATGCCGACCTTTCCCATAGCCGGTTGAATGACTACATCTTCTCCTTTGATAAGATGCTGGATGACAGAGGAAACACAGCTGCTTACTTGTTGTATGCCTTCACGAGAATCAGGTAATTGTGGGTAGACATTGCTTTATTTTGTATTGAATGAAGGCATACTTGGGTTGCTCCAAAAATTTTTTCTCTGATTTTTCTGTGTACTAGCCTTTTTGGAAATATGTCCTCTTTTAGAATTGCAGGTTATACTGGAATCCCTAAGCCTGTCCCTGTTTGCTCTGGCAGATTATCTCCTAGGCATTCATGGTTTAAATACCAGGAAAGTATCTTCTGACCTTGCCTAAAAGAATTATATTCCCATTTTTAATAATATGAAATGCTTTAGACCAGATTATTTATTTGCCTAATAGTATACCCTACAATAAATTCTTCATTTTTTAAGAACTTCTTAATTGACGATAATTTCTGATTTATGTCAGTTACTTGTTCTGCATTTTTGAATGGAGAAGAATGAGTTTGCCTAACAAAAAGGAAAAATGACGGTTGCCTAATTTTTCAGGTCTATTGCACGCCTGGCCAATATCGATGAAGAGATGCTCCAGAAAGCTGCTCGAGAGACCAAGATCAATTTGGACCACGAGAAGGAATGGAAACTAGGCCGGTGCATTTTACGATTCCCTGAGATTGTGCAAAAAATTTTAGATGACTTATTTCTCCACACTCTCTGTGATTACATTTATGAGTTGGCAACTACTTTCACAGAGTTCTACGATAGCTGCTACTGTGTGGAGAAAGACCGACAGACTGGTGAGTGCCTCAGTTAGTGGCCAGCTCGGGGTGGAGTGTCATCAGGGCATTTGAATTAGGAGGGTTTTCACATTTGTTTTATTCATGAAATCCCTCCCTCCTTTCTCCCCCCACAAATGATAGCACAGTCATCCGTATCATTTATAACAGGCAAAATTTGAACTTGTGCTTAAAAAGCAGAATTCTTCTCTTTGTTTTTCCGCTCTCAGGGACATGGGATAGAATGTAAACAATTGGAAGACTACTGGGTATAGAACATTGCCAATAAAAGTAGTGTCTAAAGGTCCCAGAATTTTGCATAATTAAATAGACTGAATTAATATTGTTTTTCTTTTTGAAAATTATTAAAATATATCTTCTCTTTTCTTCTCAGGAAAAATACTGAAGGTCAACATGGGGCGTATGCTGCTGTGTGAAGCAGTAGCTGCTGTCATGGCCAAGGGATTTGATATCCTGGGAATAAAACCTGTCCAAAGGATGTAGTCCTTCGGTTTAAACAACTTGTGTTGTTACCAAAGTGGCCATTAGCACTGTTTGCTTTTTTACAATCATGTGGATACAAAAACAAGTAAAGAAAATTTGTCAACTATCTATGCAAAATGTAGTTCTTTATATCTCTAACATCTAAATATAGAAAGACATCACTTTCATAAATATGCTTATTTCTTACTGAGCATCTTAGTAGAGGCCATGAAGTAACAGGATTTGCACACCACAGTGAGTTGATTGGCTTGGTAGGGATGTGTTTTCATTAGTTTTTTTTTCTTCTTTACAGACAGGGTTTCACTATGTTGCTCAGCTGCCCTGGGACTCCTGGGCTCAAGTGATCCTCCTGCCTCAACCTCCAGAGTAACTGGGAATACAGTCGCCACTGCTCCTGACACCTAAATTTTAATTAGATAAGGAATATCCCATTTATTGAGCTCTACCATAGGCCCCAAGAGCTTTACACGCCTTTATTGTCCCATGTATTCCTCATTTGTTGCTTTTTGATAGTTATCTGTGTTTTACAGGTAACGAAACTGAGGCCTGGATGGCTCAGGAACAAAAATCAAGATTCATATCTATGCATATCTGTCAAATTTAAGCTCTTTGCATTTTAGCAAAAGAAAACGTTGGCAAGGCCAGGTGCGGTAGCTCACGCCTGTAATCCTAGCACTCTGGGAGGCCGAGGTGGAAAGATAGGTCAGGATTCAAAACCAGCCTGAGCAGAGAGGACCCCAGCTCTACTACTAAATAGAAAGAAATTATTGGCCAACTAAAAAAATACATAGAAAATTAGCCCAGGCAGTGGTGGCACATTGACCTTCAGTCCCAAGCTACTCGTGGAGGCTGAGGCACAGAGAGATCACTTGAGCCAAGAGTTGAGGTTATCTATAGCTGGTTGAATGACATGGCCACTCTTAGCCCAGGGAATAGAGCAAGACTCTGTCTCAATAAAAAAGAAGAAGGAAATGTTGGCAATATAACAGTCCTAGTTTCAGCGTAAGGGGGCAAGAAAATAGACTGGAAATTTCCCTGAAACTCCAGATTAATTCTAGCATCATCACATTGGTCATGTAGCCGATCCTAAGATTCAAGAGGAAGCCTAGAAAATAACATAATATAAACAAAGAGAATGTGCCAATGATTTAACTCAGACCTGTCTAAATCCATTCCCTTTGCTTGGTTTATTGTCTTAGTGTATGAAATTAGCAAGACAGTAGAGATTGCTGGTGGCAGCAAGGGAGGTTGTGGGGTAGGGCTCAGCAATGGTTATTGAGTCAGTAGTAGTAGTAGCATCTGCCAACAAACCAATAAAAAATTTTTAAAAAGTCAATAGAACCTGGGCATAGTGGACACACCTGTAGTCTCAGCTCCACGGAAGGCTGAGGCAGGAGGATCACCTGAGGCCAGGAGTTTGAGACTGTAGTGTGCTATTGTGCCTGTGAATATAAAAACAAATGCTTAATGTACATGAAACATACGTGCTTTTACCAAAGGTCTCCAAAACACCCTTAGAGACAATCTTAATGAGTTATATAATCATTGTTATGTAAAAGCCTGACGTGTATATTAGATCACTGCGCTCTCCAACAAATATGGGGGGCTAAATAATTTCCTCTTAGCCAACTAACTACAAAGACAGTCCATCTAGACTATTGAGTCCAAGGGTTAGAATATTTAGAAAATTTTATAAAGTAAAAACAGGATTCAATGATATATAGGAGAAAATAAGGAAAAACTAGGGGAGTATCTTAAACCAAAGGTCATGATTAGTTCATATACTAACAAATCATCTCTCAGCTCCCAGAGACCATAACTATATCTAATCTCATCTTTAAAACATTATCATAATTTATAGAAATACCATTTGATAATATAGATAATATCAGGAACTTTTCCTTAGGAAATAGAGTTCTGATTAGCCTGGGGTTTTTTTCTTTTTTAAAAAAAACCTGTGGGTATATCACAAATGATTAGCTTGTTCTTAATGTGCAAGTCTTTGGGATAACAAAGCCAGTTTGACTTCAGAAAATCCTTATTTGATTTCATCAAATATACGGGCCCTTGGGAACCTAAAGCTTGCCTTCATTTGACCTCTAATAGAGGTCAAAAGAACTTAACATTGGTTAATAGAAAAGACAAGATTTTCAGATGACCATATAGTCATTTATACTAACTGACTTTTCTATAACCCCAAATTTATTTTCTGCTAAGAAATTATTATATTTCATTAGCTCTAGATACCACAGTTTGCAAGATAGTATTAATTTTTTGGCACTACCAAGAAAAAAAATTTGATCAATTAAACTGACAACTTCTACATGTACTGAAGTATTTGAGGCTTTGGTTTTTGTCATATAATCACTTCTGTGTAAACTTAAAATACAACTGAAATTGGTTGAGATACTCCTAAAGCTTCAGAATGTTCTAGAACTCAAGCATCCCACTCTTTTGAGATACTTGATGCAGAGTCATCAACGTCTGTCTTTTCTACACAATATCATCCTCTGTGCTATCAAAAACATTGACGATGCAGCATTTTGATGTTCCACTGTTGTTCCCGGGGTTATTTTCCAAGCCACTGGCATCTCTCGAGTTCTGACGCTCATGAAAGCAGTGACAGTGATGTCACAATCATCTGACTGATACTGTGAGGTATGTCACAATTACAGAGATCTAAAAATATACATCCTAAAATTGATGAAACACAGAAGTAAATGAGGAAAGTAAAGTTGCCAAGAAGAAGTTTGACCTAGTATGGCTCATTGTCCCTACATAAATGTGAATTCTCCACATTTAATTTTTTTTGTTTTGTGTTTTTCTGTTTGATTTCAGCATATTATGGGGGTACAAATGTTAAGGTTACATATATTGCCCATGACCCCCTCCCCCCTTGAGTCAGAGCTTCAAGCGTGACCATCCCCCAAACATTGCATACACATTTAATTTTTTTAACTTACAGGGAGCTGTTGGCTGAGCTAGGCCTATTTCTTTTTTAAAGTTTTTCTTTCAGAGATGGGGTCTTTCTCTGTTGCCCAGGCAATAGTGCAGTACAGTGGCACAATCATAGCTCACTGCAGCCTCCAACTCCTGAGCCCCAGTGATCTAACCCTCAGCCTCCCAAAGTGCTGGGATTATAGATCTAAGTCACTGTGCCCAGCCTGGGACTATTTTTAGGTGTTTCAACGCAGTGTTCTTTGACACACAAGGCTTCAAGTTGTCCCTCACCTGGAGAGGTCAGTTACTCTCCTCCAACTCCATCCCCTTACCCCCAGAATTCTTTCCCTAACCTACACTTTCTTAAAATTTTAGTGTTTCACAGGGTCAGTGGAATGATGTATTTAACATGCTGAAAGGGGCAGAGGAATGGGATGGGAAAGTCAGCTAAGACTTCTATATCCAGCAAAACTATCCTTCAGAAATGAAGATGAAATTAAGACATTCCCCAATAAACAAAAACTGAGCATTTGTCACTAGTAGACCTTATAAGAAATGCTAAAGGTTGAAATGTAAGGATCCTAGACAGTAACAAATCCACACAAAGAAATAACACCAGTGACAAGGGAATTAAAATGGTACATTAAAAAATACCTATTTATCATGTTCAAGGCAAAAGGAAGTAAATAATAAAGATCAGGATGGAAATGATTGTAAAATAGAGAATCAAAAACAATAAAGTGAATTAAAACCAAAAGTTGGTTCCTTAAAAAGATCAACCAGATTGACAAACTGTTAGAGCTAGACTAACAAGACAAGACTGAAATTACTAAAATCTGTCACGAAAGTGGGAATATTACTATTGACCTTACAGAATAAAGACAATTATGAGACTACAATGAATAAATGTATGCCAAAAAATTAGACAACCTAGATGAAATGGATAAATACGAGAAACAAACTATGAAAATTGACCCAAAAAGAACTAGAAAATCTGAATAGACCTATATATTAATAACAAGGAGATTGAATCAATAGTCAAAAAACTTCTAAGAAAGGCCCAGGACCAGATGGCTTTTGTAGTGAATTCTACCAAATCTTTAAAGAATTAACACCAATCCTTCTCAAACTCTTCCAAAGAAATAGAAGTGATAATAGTTTACTTCCTAACTGATTTTATAAGGCCATTATTATCCTGATACTAAAACTAAAAGCATCACAAGATAATGAAACTACAGATCAACATCCTGTATATAGATACAAAAAACCTCAATAGAATGCTAGCAAACTGAACTCAGAAACATATTAAAAAATATACCATGATCAAGTGAGATTTATCTGAGGAATGTAATAGTGATTCAACATATGACATAAACTCATGGTGACAAACCATATTAATAGAATGAAGAAGGGGGGAAAACCCACATGAGCATCTCAATAGATCAGAAACAAGATAAATGTATGCTCTTGATACATCTATTCAATAGTCTACTTAAGTTCTAGCAGGGCAATTAGGCAAGGAAAAGAAAGAAATGAGTTCATCAAAGTTGCAGGATTCAAGATCAAGGTATAAAAATTAGTTGTATTTCTATACACTTGCAATGAACACAAAAATGAAATTAAAACAAATCTATAGGCCGGGCGTGGTGGCTCACGCCTGTAACCCTAGCACCCTGGGAGGCTGAGGCGGGAGGATTGCTCGAGGTCAGGAGTTCGAAACCAGCCTGACAGAGACCTCGTCTCTACTATAAATATATATACAAAAAATTAGCCAGGCATGGTGGCGCATGCCTGTACTCCCAGCTACTCAGAAGGCTGAGGCAGTAGGATCGATTGAGCCCAGGAGATTGAGGTTGCTGTGAGCTAGGCTGATGCCACAGCACTCATTCTAGCCTGGGCACCAAAGTGAGACTCTGTCTCAAAAAAAAAAAATGAAAACAAAAAACAAATCTATGATAGCATCAAAAGAATAAACTACTTAGTAACTCATTTAGCTAAGAAAATGTTAAGACTGGTATACTAGAAACCACAAAATACTTTTTTTTTTTTGAGACAGAGTCTCACTCTGTTGCCTGAGCTAGAGTGCTATCAGCCTAGCTCACAGCTCAAACTCCTTGGCTCAAGCAATCCTTCTGCCTCAGCCTCCCAGGTAGCTGAGACTACAGG